GGGCCTGCCGGCTCCCGCGGCGACGCAGGCAGGGACCGGGCGGCCTCAGCCCGTCCCCGGGAGGGGACGCGGGGTGCCTGAGGTGATGGCGGGTGCTAACGGGGCGGCGGCGTCCTCGGGGCTCCGCGTTCGCAGGGCTTGTGCCTGCTGCCGCCGTCCGGTTTGGGGGTACGGGATGGTGCCGAGCTCCCCGCGGGGTTCGGGAGGAGCGTGGGAGTAAGTGGGCGACGATTTTAAATTGGCACCTCGAAACCTAAGTGTCGTACTAGCTTGGGCTGTTACAGTAGTCCCAACTGTTCTAGTACCGCTCTGTTCTGAAAAGGAAGCACTTGTTCCTGTGTGACGTCAGTTGTTTGCTTTCCTTTCCCTCTCTTCGACTCTACAGTAACCTGCCTTTGCTATTTTAAATTAGTGTTAGAGCTCAGCCTTGTCTCCAAAGGAATGAAAGTTGACATGAGTGTGCTGCTCACAGCTCCAGCCACCCTTCTGCCACCTCCTCACCCTGTTCCCCCCCCCTTTTTAAATTTCTTGGCCACTGCTAGCAGGGTTTAGTAGACAGACATCTTTAAAGTTTCTGCAGATTTCCTGAAAACCCGAGTTTAAGGAGAACGAGGGCATCCAGTTGATTTGCCTGACAGAAATGCCACTAGATGAGTTCAGCTGCGTTATTAGACACCAGCGAGCAGAGGGAGGCACCGTTGGAGGCGTTATTCCATTCCCATGAACACCGGCAGTTGGGACTCATCTAGTCACTCAAGCCGTGAGTGGGCTTGGAAGTCACGGGAAGCCAGGCGTAATAAGGTCTGCTGCCCCTCAGAGCAGAGCTCATGAAGTACTTGAAAGGTGCTCAGATGCTGTTGTGAGAGGGGAAAAAAACAGAGAAGGACTTTAGCGCATTAATTCTCAGATAGCTTTTCTAAAACTTAAACGTTTGCAATAAGTCAAGTCCTAAGTTCTCTAGTGGGGCTCTGTGTAGTTACGTACATTCATACATACAAATCCAGTGGTGAGGTCTAAGCTTGCTTCAGTGTTTTGGGAAAATATGCGTATACAAAATGATATGCAGAGTAAACACCAGAAAAGAAACATACTGCCTAAATTTTTAAAATTATAGCTCTTGTAGTACAAAATATCCCCAAACATAAATTTATTAGCCTCTCTTTATTGGTAAATCCAGTACAAGTGACTTTAAGTGTGAAGAGGGTGGAGAAAAAGAGTGCATATATCTGCAGAGTGCTACTGACACCTGCATTCTAACTTCCATTTTCAAAATAATTCTAAAAGCAGTTGAATGACAAGGGATGTGAGTTCAAGTAGTACTTTCAAAAGCTGTTCCATCCACGTTCATGTTGTCTTCTCTAACCTGTGACTTCTTTTTTGGAGCCATTTGTTTGGCGTGTTTTTTATGTGTTTTATTTGAGATGAAAACTTAAATATCGGCAGGATGGGGAAACAATGCGCTCCCACCGCCTAACTCAGTTTGTGGGATTTTTCCTTTCCAGAACTGCAAGGGATTATATCTTTCACTCCTTAGCCTCACTGCAAAAAGTATAAGATTTAGAGATGTTGGAGGGCTCTGTGGAAAAATGGAAGCAAGCTCAGAGGCTGCAAAGAATAGCATTGCCTGTCAAAACAATGTTTTGTGCTTTCTTGTTGCATTTGGTCATAGCTGCCTGCTTGGCACTGATTGCATTACTCTAGATTATTATTCTATTTAGGAGTCTCAAAAAAATAGCACAACTAGAGGTCTTGCTTCTTGAAGTGTTAAGTCTTGCAAAATAAATTCTCCAGTCAGATGCTACAGAAAGCTTCTAAAGCAATGTTTTTCTCTAGAGAAGAAACGAGTACCACTTCAGTGAGCAGTACTTCTTCAGTTCTGTCCTTGTTCAGTGATAGTAACCATTATGTTCCTTTGGATGAAGAGGAGAAGGGAGTTTGATGCTCTTTGGATCATGCCTCAGGGACCCAATTATATGACATGCTGAGCAACCTCAAGTCCCATGGAAATCAGTCTGAGGTTGAAGTACTTGATGTTTTGTGTGATCAGATGCCAGCATCATTAAGTGAATGCCAAGTGCAGATTTGGGTTTTGCGCTCTTTGTATCTTTGCTGCTAGTGGCAGTCAAATAAAAGGCAAATAGTATAAAATTAATGTTGAGATTCTCTTATTTTTATCATCAGAATGACCCCAAATGATCTCAGCTTGCCTTACAGTCCGTGCATGGGGTTTAAAGAATTAGCAGCAAAGTAAACTCATGCTGCTTCTTCTATAGAGTAAATAATTTTGCTTCTGATTCTTGCAAGCATAAATTTCCTATGATCCTTTCACAGTCTTTTTGTCAGAGGTGGGTGAAAGTGCTGAATTCAGAGCTTATTTAGGCAGCTTACTTTAATGTGTATTTTTTGAAAAAGGTAATGGTTTGGGTGAATTGGAGAGCTCTTTGTTTTTGAGTGGGTGCTGAAACATGAAGTATATGATGTATTATACATATATTTAAACTGTCCATGCCACTCTGTTAATGAACTATGTTTCCTGATTCTGTAACATACCTCCTTGAGTCTCTGTTTTCTCCTGACCTGAACCGGAATACTGATCCATCATCAATAGCACGTCCTGAGCATGTCATAAAAATTTCAAGCCATGGTCCTGTAGACATGCCTAAGTTCTTGAGTGCACATATTAGACTCCAGTTGTTGTATGAAGCCTGCTCAATTTAGGATCATGACTGTTACTTTTCTATAATGAATTCTGCTCTATAGTTGTCACCAAGCTGCACAATGAAGTGTAGCGATTTTAAAATAAGATGTTGTTTAAAATCAAGAGAACATTGTTTTGCAAAGTTTTCATGACATCTTCCCAGTGAGATAATGGGTCTACAGTTTGACGCTTTTTCTTCAACCATGAGGTTAGTTCTGTAAGCTAGCTCTTTTTGTTCCATGTTTGCACATCTTTTGCACGGTAGAGCCCTTGCCTATGGGTGAGGTTTGCCATAAATTAATGTGTCTGCTTTTGCAGTGCAATAAAGAGGTTACTTTTTAGAGGGAAACAAAACTCATCACAAAGGTAAATTATCACTGAATTGCTATAGAAGAAGCAGCTCCTGGAGAAGCAGATGATAATGTCCTCTGCCTGCATTAAAAGTAGATACAGACCTACTCTGATGTACCTGCATCCTACTGGGGTCAGGTACTAAGTTTAGTGGTAGATCAACTTAACAGTTTTTTTTCAGCAATGCTTTAAGAGAATATCAGGAAGTTAGAGTTCAGAAGACTAGGAATGAAATTATTTTTAACAAGGGCCGATGAGAAGTATTAAGCATAATAGTATGTTTTGTATGACAGTGATAAAACTGAATGATTTTTTTCTTTCCTATTTAAAGGAAGAGCCAAGGCTGGATGTTCTGATAAATAATGCAGGCATATTCCAGTGTCCATACATGAAGACAGAGGATGGTTTTGAGATGCAATTTGGCGTAAACCACTTGGGTCACTTCTTGCTCACCAACCTTCTTCTGGGCCTCCTCAAAAATTCTGCTCCCAGCAGGATTGTGGTAGTATCCTCAAAGCTTTACAAATATGGAGAGATCAACTTTGAAGACTTGAACAGTGAAATAAGTTACAATAAAAGCTTTTGTTACAGTCGGAGTAAACTGGCTAACATATTATTTGCAAGGGAGCTAGCCCGTCGATTAGAAGGGACAGGAGTCACTGTCAATTCACTTCATCCTGGGATTGTCAGAACAAATCTAGGCAGATACGTGAACATTCCTTTGCTGGCAAAACCCCTATTCAACTTGGTGTCATGGGCTTTCTTCAAAACACCTCTGGAAGGAGCCCAGACTTCTATTTATTTGGCTTCTTCTCCTGATGTCGAAGGCGTGTCAGGAAAATATTTTGGGGACTGCAAAGAGGAGGAACTCGTGCCCAAAGCCATGGATGATTTGGTTGCAAGAAAGTTGTGGGATATCAGTGAAGTGATGGTTGGCTTATTGAAATAAGTGCCAGGGGGTATCTGCAAATAGAATGCAGATAACTATGCAACACACATTTGCAACAGTGTGATTCTCACTTTAAGTGCTGTGGGAATACAGATTACTCTGCTCAATAGGTATTAAATAGAGGAGTGATTTATGCTGGAACTCTGTTTTGAAATAAAGGACAATCTTCCTTTAATAGACGCAGGCATTCAAAACAAGTCTGAAATAGAGTTTGAGGGTGTGAATATAATTTCTGGTTAAATCTGCTTGGAAACTCGTGTTTTACAAATAAAAATTGAACAACTGTGTTTTGCAATATATATGCATATTTGTCATGTTCCACTATTTGTAGTTGGGCTGGACAATGCAGGGTACTGATGGTGAAACACTTCTCCTGTAAAAAGGTTTTGAAAATAGATCCTAATAATAATATTAGGATTGTTGTCTTTTTTTAAGCCATCACAATGAAAAATGGAATAAACAGTTTTACCAATATCTTACACTGTAATCATTTAGGCCTCTGAGTGCTGTTCAAAGACTTGTCAGCCCCATGGTTCAGTGAACAAAACTGTTGAGCCGTGTACAGTTTAGCTGTGAAGCACAAAGTCAACTTTTTTGAGTGATGTTGCTGCTATTCGATGAGTGCATACACTTGGTTGTGCAAGCCGTATTTTTAATTTCATGTGTGCTAAACTTGCTATTTATTGATACGCAGACACCTTGGGTTTCATTAAAAACATAGTTGATGGATGTATTATGGTCTTGATAGGACTTTGCATGTCACGAATTGTGTGCACACGAAGTTCATGAGACACTGCCCAGATTAGACTGAAGAGAATGCTTTTCAGTGTGTGTGTTTGGCTTGACTGATGGCACTTTAACTCAGTGATGAGATTAGATAAGTCTGTCTAATACAGCTTACTGAATATTCTTTAATAAAAATCTTTTTAAAAAAGACATAGTGTTCATTCTTTCGTGGTGGAAGATATATTAGAAACTGGTGGTCTTGGCACGGTAGTCTTGTTTCAAACCAGAAGATTCACCTGTATTGGTTTAGGGACCTTGTCACGTAGGGTTGGTAGGAATAAAATGGGCTCCAAATAACTACATGGGTATTACGTGAGATGTGCTGATTTATTCTTTTTTTAATTCATATAACTACTGGGTTCATATTGACATTTATGACTTCTTGTTTTGCTCTACTGTAATAAAATATTCTAGCAGTTAAGATATATAGAATAAATATGGAAGAATGATTTAGAGTGATCTGTCTTAAGAAATATTACTCAAGGGAAGGAGTATCAACAATAACTGATGTATTCAGTAGAACCTTATTATCTACTTCTAAATAGGTATTAGTTCTGCACTTCAGGTAGCAACCAGCCAAATTTCTGAGCTTCTTTCTCTGCCTGTTTACTCAGACTCTCAGTATATTTTAACTTTTGCACAGTGGCGTGGACCTGATCGAGCCTTGCCCTTCACCAGCAAGATTGTGTTCTGGGTGAGTGACTTGGGTGGGGATGGAAGGTGGCATTCCAGAAAATCACAAGGCAAGCTACGAAACAGAACAGGTTTTTGAGATCTTGTAACATGTTGAGTTTTGCACTGCTCGCTGTATGGCAAGGTGTAGAGATGGGTGTGTTGTTAAAGCATACTCTGAACATTGAACAAAAGTTCTCTAAGTAATGCCAGAGGGAGGTGTGTAACATGCTAAGAGATGTTCTGCTTTGATCTTCAGTGTTGCATTTCACATTCTCATTCCAAATACTTGCAAATAGCTGCACGCAGCACCTTTAAACAGCTATCTAAAGAATTAAAAGTTCATTAAGTTCTCTGTAAAGAGAGAGAGAAGCTGAACCAAACTCGGGTTTGTGTTTTCAGTACTGCTGTAGTGATACTAAAGGAACACTACTGTATTGTTTCACTGCTGAAACGTGTGTACCTGTTGCAAGGAAAGCCTTGGATGCAAAGGTGGAGAATGGAGATGGCTAGTCTGAAAATACTGTAGTAAAGAACTGCACTGAAACTGACTGAAGAGCAGAGAAATATATAATTTTTCAGACTGAATGACCAACATACGGTGTGCACTTGCCTTCAAAACAGCAAAGGTGGATTTGTACTGAAATAAGAGGTGTGGAAGAAGTCCCAGTCGTGGTATGGCTGCATAATGTGTAATGCTTCATACATCTACCAGGTGCTTGGTTTTATTTTCTTTTGAAACATCATGGAAATAAGAGCTATTGTCAGAAAGGGATTACATTCCTGCAATCATAACTAAATTGCAGGCCTCGTTCCAGAGTAGGAGAGTGATCACATGATACCCTTAATGGAATATTAATGAATTAATATTGCCTGAAAACAATTTGAAAGGGTGGATTGTTAGGAACTTACCGACAGGTAAGCTTTTTTCAATGTCTGAAATAAGTAAAATTTGTCACTTTCGAGGTTGAATGTAATTTAGCCTCTCTGGACCAGAAAGCTTTGATTACTCTCTTGAGACTGCTGTTAATGTTTGTTTATGTGATGTTTTTGTTATTCTAGTAGCATCTAGGAACTGGAGACCTCATAGGTCAACCGATCTTGCAAAATGTAAGTGCAAAACCAAAGAAGACCCCTTATTTTAACAAGCAGTAACGCTGACTCAGTCTAGGTTAGAACCATGCATTTTGGCTAAGGAAGTATCTCTACTCTACTCTACTCTGCAGTATCTTAGTAAGCTCCGATTATATGTGTATGTTTTGAGGACTGCCTGCTGAATGTCTTCTCTTGGAGCTGGTAGAGGATGCTCATAAGAGGAGACCAGCACCTTCACACTTCACCCCAGTGTAACAGTGTCTCCAGAAAAATGTGGCAAGCTCTGTATATTACTACTGCATAAACATTTTATATCAAGGGCATGCAGCCAAAACCAGGATCGATTCCAGATGCCTCCTTCCGCCATCACCACCATATGACCACCACCACCCTCAAATTAAACTTATTTCCCATGAAGAATTAAACTTTTTAAAAATGAGGGTGAAAGAGGCAGTGACCAGGGATAGCGTGTAAAGCCAATGGAAATGCAGCTTTCATTGGCAGATACAGACACTGATCACATTGCTGGCAAGTACATTACAAATACGCAAAGAAGCCACAGCTGAGGTTAAGATCTTGTCGAAGTCTGTCATAAACGTAAATGTTACAAGGCAACTCCTTCCAAAGCCAAAATGTACTTTCAGCTATCTTACATAAATTGTTAGAATTTCAGCGTTTGATTCTGGGTCCACCAGCAGCATTGGGCCAGCGCTCAGCACCTGTGCCCTGGGGATTTAAAAACTGGCTGGGATGTGTACAGGGCACAGTGAATCGCGAGAACGTAGCCCCTGCCCTTTTGCTTTTCATGGGGGAAATGCCTCTGCCCTGCCATAGCCGAGAGGCGGAGGGCCACCGCAGCAATTAACTTTGGCTATTTGCAAACTTTCCCTGCTGGAGCCTTCGGCCAGTCTCAGCAATGAGTGAAAATGCTTCTAAGTGGTCCCATCTCTCAATGATCGCATTTTGTATAGCAACAACATTGCAGACTAACTGTACTCTAAAAGGGTTATTTTAAAATTGGTGCATGAGAGTATGTGTGTGCAGATGTGTGTGCAGGTGCAATTTAATCCCTCATTTTAAAAGGTGGACAGGAAGAGCTGTCAACGATGTGCGGAGGAGCTGAGGGGAGAGGAGAGCGGTTCTTAGCATGGGATTGTCACCGGCCGCCTGCGCTGCTTTGGTACGTGATGAGACGTTGGGCTTGGGGCAGATCTGTCGGGCTTGAGCTCAGCGTTGAGCTCAGTTGCTTAAAGTTGCATCCAGGTAGACGTACCCACCGCCTGCTTTTGCAGCTGGAGAGCACACCCGCACAGCCGAGGGGAGGAAATCTCTCCGTGTAATGGTCGAGAGAAACAGGCTTCAAGTGTCTTAAGGGGAGTATTTTTTAACTGCTTCAGTACAATTTATTCATCTTTGGCTATGGTGCTTTTCAAAGTGTCCTGTAACCAGCTTCCCTCACGGACAGACCAAGAGTTTAAGAAAGAAATAATTTCCTTTTTTTAAAATTTTTTTCTTTCTTTTGATTCTCAGTCCCAGGCCCTAGCTATAAGCCAGTCCTCCCTGCACACATGTAGCTATTATAGCTGAGGTTTCTGCAAGTGAACTAAATTGCAGTTGCATGTATTTATTTTATATGCCCCATCTGTTTCAGTCAAGGGAGACCTATGTGCTTTTTAAAAAAAATACTCTGAATCTGTCACCAATTTACCTTCCTTACCTTGCCACAAAGGCCAACATCTATCCCCAGGCAAAGGGACAACGCTGCTCTTTCATTTACTACAGTCAACGCAGCAGGCAGGCTTATAAACCCAGCGGGGGTTCTCCAGTAAAAATTCTCCATCTTAATGAGATAAATGATCAGTTTTTCCATGATGCAATAAAACCAGAAATATTTAAACTCTCCTCTCTTTCTTCAGTGGTTGCCTGGTTTGCCTAAGCTTCCTACTAAGTGAATGCTTCACAGGCTTCAAAGCCTGAGCCCTGTGAATGTGCAGTGTGATTATGCTTTTGCTGAAAAATGTGGATAATTCCCACTTCAAGCAGACTTAATTTCTTTCCACCTAAGGCTATAAAGAAAATAAACAACTTGCAAGAGTCATACAAATAATTTTAAAATGGGAGGCCTGTTCCCTTTTTCACATAACTTTTTCCAAACTAATCACTTAGAGAGTAATTGACTTGCAAAACGATCCGGGAGGCCTCCACAGTTGAATTGCTATTTTTGATCTGTCCCAGAACGGTGCTGCTATTTCTCATAACAGAAAATGACGACCTCCCTCTAGACTTTTTACTTAGCGCTTTAGCTACCACTAGCAGCCTCACACCTGTCGTGGCTGGATTTGGATCAGAGAAATTAATTTGAATATTTAATTAATTCCAAATGTCCTATGTAACATGGAGAAAGGAGTGCTTTCCTAATTGCTCTTTGGGGGGAAGGCTGGCCCACTGACCTCCTAACAAGGTTGATAGCCCTTTCTTTCTACATTTAAGAATGATCACTTCTTTTCAGGTAATTTGAAAGAAACTTCATCTGGTTCGGGAAAGGAACAAATGGCTTATTTGTCGTGAAAGATTCAGGAGGGTGTCACATGCTTGAAATCTATAATAATCACTTTAGCAAGGTACTGAGCATTTCTCACTGTCTGCTTCATGGCCAAAGCAAGCAGTCTGAAATCGTGGTCCCACTAAAAGTGTTGGGAGTCAGACACCGAAATATTTTTGCTGATCTTGATCTCCTGGCTTTAGGTTTGGGCAGTAGGACTATTACAGCCAGTTGGATGATGATTCTTTCAGGCTTGATGAATGAGGCTTTATGCAGTTCTGTGTATGTGTGGCATTTTTAAAAACACACTTCACAAGTTACGGGGGTGGGGTGGTAGCGGTGGTAGTGGTGTTATGTGTATATTAAATAGTCTGCAACATTCTCCAGAAATGTGTGTGTTTTTTCCCCAAAGAAATGTCAGCCCATCTCTGCAGTCGTTGAGATGTTTGTCAGTTTGCCACCTGGACTGCAGTTCCGTGATGAGCGACGTTATTTCAGTTTATCTAAGTCCTTTTGCAACCTTCCCCAACAGTAGGTCAGTGTTCTTAGGGTCCCCCTAAGTCATTGCATGACCATCCACTCTCCAAATCCCATCTGCCCTTGAGACAAGCAATGTCAGGGTCTTTCTAGATGCTTCAAGAAAGGGGTCATGAACAGGATCTGCAGAAAGACAAGTGACAGGCCTGGAGGCGCAGAACCTGCATGCCCTACAACAAGGAGATTTGGTATCATTTTATATACACATCTACAGACAGGAACACCTT